AGTATCCTCTTTGGAGGTAATTAAATACATTTAGGGACTGGGCAGGCAAGTGGCAGATGAAATTCAATAGCGATAAATGCAAAGTCATGTATTTTGGAGTAAAGAACCCAAACCCACAAGCTACTTATACATTACATCGGGTTGAGTTAGGAATTATATTAAATGAAAAGGATTTCCCCTAAAAGGGGAATCCCACTAAACCCTTAAGAGACTATACAGAAATAAAAAAATAAAATGATCAGCACCAATAGACAATATATTGTCACAGCAAGGAATGTCTTTGGGTAGGGTAGCTGTCTATTTTCTTGATGATGTATATAGAAAGACAAAAGCAGAAAAGGTGGAAAAAGTGTAGTACGTCAAATCTAGTTATGTAATGAAAAAAATTACAGTATCACACTTACATTTTATAAAGCCTTAGCCAACTCTAGTGTATATGGTGTGCGGTGGTAAAATCCCCATTTATAAGATATATTGGAGGTGTTCATTTGGTTCATGATGACAGGAACCCAGGGAGAAATAGTAAGGCAATCAATAAAACAAGGAGTGTACACAGGACAATATCGGACCTCTGAAAAGAATAAGCATGCATATGGACTCAGTACTTGGTTTGGGCCCCTTTTGCAGCAATTACTGCCTCAATGCGGAGTGGCATGGAAGCTATCAGCCTGTGGCACTGCTGAGGTGTTATGGAAGACCAGGATGCTTCAATAGCGGCCTTCAGCTATTCTGCATTGTTCGGTCTCATGTCTCTGATTTTTCTCTTGGCAATGCCCCATAGATTCTCTTTGGGGTTCAGGTCAGGCGAGTTTGCTGGCCAATCAAGCACAGTAATCCCACGGTCATTGAACCCTGCTTTGGTGCTTTTGGCAGTGTGGGCAGGTGTCAAATCCTGCTGGAAAATTAAGTCAGCATCCCCATAAAGCTCGTCTGTGGACGGCTGCGTTGACCCTGGACTTAATGAAGCACAGTGGACCAACACCAGAAGATGACATGGCTCCCCAAATCAACACAGACTGTGGAACCTTCACACTGGACTTCAAGCATCTTGCAGTGTGTGCATCTCCACTCTTCCTCCAGACTCTGGGTTCTTGGTTTCCAAGTGAGATGCAAAAGTTGCTCTCATCAGAAAATAGGACTTTGGACCACTGAGCAAGGTCTGTTTTTCTTTAGCCCAGGTAAGACGCTTCTGACTTTGTTTGTTCTTCAGGAGAGGCTTGACAAGAGGAATACGACATCTGAAGCCCATGTCCAGGATCTGTCTGTGTGTGGTGGCTCTTGATGCTCTGACTCCAGCCTCAGTCCACTCCTTGTGAAAGTCCCCAACACTTTTGAATGGCCTTTTCCTGACAATCCTCTCCAGGCTGCGGCCATCCCTGCTGCTTGTGCACCTTTTTCTTCCACACTTTTCCCTTCCACTTAACTTTCTATTAATGTGCTTTGATACAGCACTTTGGGAACATCGAACTTCCTTTGCAATTACCTTTTGAGGCTTTCCCTCCTCATGGAGGGTGTCAGTGATGGTTTTCTGCACAACTGTCAGGTCAGCAGTCTTCCCCATGATTGTGATTCCTACTGAACCAGACTGAGAGACCATTTAAAGGCTCAGAAACCCTTTGCAGGTGTTATGGCTTACTTAGCTGATTAGAGTGGGACACTGTGAGCCTAGAATATTGCACCTTTTCACAATATTCTAATTTACTGAGATTGTGGATTTGGAGTTTTCATGAGCTGTAAGCCATAATCATCGCATTTATGACAATTCACGACTTGAACTATCTTGCTTTGCATGTAATGCCTCTATCTCATATATTAGTTTCCCCTTTTACATTGCATTACTGAAATAAATTAACTTTTGCACGATATTCTAATTTTTCAAATATCACCTGTATATGATAAAAATAGTTAAAATGTACTCACAAATACAGAGCAGACTAACTGCTCTATGATGACATCATTGTTAGTTTGATCCCCACCTAGAATTGCTTTAGAGTAGAGATAAAAGATGCCAGGAAGAATGAAAACAGTATTAAAACAAAATTTTAAAAAAAGGTAATTGGCACAGCACACAAGTGTAGTGACCAAAATCCTTTAATAGTTAAAATACAAAGTAGTAACATCCATTAACCCGTTTTCCCCATTATGGCTTTTTCAAATGGAGTAAAAACATACACCTGGCTAGAGAGGGTTTATATAGAAATAAGACCACTTAAAATTGGAGCTAAAAACACAGTGTAACAAGTGGACTAATTAGCTGTTAGCATAGTCTAAACATAGATTAAAACAGACTAAAATACATATGTATGTATTAAGAATAGTGAAAGGCGCCCAAATATAATTTGTTATTAAAAATGAGCATTAAAACAGATAGGAGTTAGCAAACAAACAAAAGCCCAGGAAAAGCCCAGGCGCACAGTCTTATGAGGGCTGTAGTCTTAGAGAATGTGCATCCTTACACTGCAAATATTGAAAAACTGCTAAATGGCCTTCTTAGTGGGGGAAAAAAGGCCAATAGTAGCGGCCATATTGGAGGGGAAGTACATAGAAAAAAAGAATATATTTATATATATACTCACACATGTACAGGGAGTGCAGAATTATTAGGCAAATGAGTATTTTGACCACATCATCCTCTTTATGCATGTTGTCTTACTCCAAGCTGTATAGGCTCGAAAGCCTACTACCAATTAAGCATATTAGGTGATGTGCATCTCTGTAATGAGAAGGGGTGTGGTCTAATGACATCAACACCCTATATCAGGTGTGCATAATTATTAGGCAACTTCCTTTCCTTTGGCAAAATGGGTCAAAAGAAGGACTTGACAGGCTCAGAAAAGTCAAAAATAGTGAGATATCTTGCAGAGGGATGCAGCACTCTTAAAATTGCAAAGCTTCTGAAGCGTGATCATCGAACAATCAAGCGTTTCATTCAAAATAGTCAACAGGGTCGCAAGAAGCGTGTGGAAAAACCAAGGCGCAAAATAACTGCCCATGAACTGAGAAAAGTCAAGCGTGCAGCTGCCACGATGCCACTTGCCACCAGTTTGGCCATATTTCAGAGCTGCAACATCACTGGAGTGCCCAAAAGCACAAGGTGTGCAATACTCAGAGACATGGCCAAGGTAAGAAAGGCTGAAAGACGACCACCACTGAACAAGACACACAAGCTGAAACGTCAAGACTGGGCCAAGAAATATCTCAAGACTGATTTTTCTAAGGTTTTATGGACTGATGAAATGAGAGTGAGTCTTGATGGGCCAGATGGATGGGCCCGTGGCTGGATTGGTAAAGGGCAGAGAGCTCCAGTCCGACTCAGACGCCAGCAAGGTGGAGGTGGAGTACTGGTTTGGGCTGGTATCATCAAAGATGAGCTTGTGGGGCCTTTTCGGGTTGAGGATGGAGTCAAGCTCAACTCCCAGTCCTACTGCCAGTTCCTGGAAGACACCTTCTTCAAGCAGTGGTGATGTAGAATTATTAAAATCTTTATTAGAACCTGTATTGAATTATTGTACTAACTCCATTTTGTTCACCTTACATGACAGAATTTCCTGACAGTATTCAGTATAATGAATAAGAGATTGTATTTTCTCTCTCTAAGGACATAACTAGACCCGGAGTTAGCGGATCTCCGTTGACTTGCAACATAGTATAATCCAAGGCCAGGAGAACAGTGACAAAATGAAATGTTCTATTCATAAAAGAACCTTGGACCAGAGCACGAGACTGACATCACTAACTATGTAAAATGATGCCCAAGCCCCCCCTTTCCACCGAGTAAGCCTCGTGCTAAAGAGCAATGACATCCCATGATGGGAGGGTGCCTCACTAGTCACTCAAATCTCTGAGCCAATTAATAATATTAATGGGTGGACACTGACATAGCCACTTAACATTTAACCCAATTAATAGTGTCTATTTGCTGTTATCTTGAATTCTTCAGTGATGTAATAATGCCTTTAAAAGGGTCTGCGCACCCATTTTCTGCCAGAAGCCATTAAACTTCTCTGAAGTTCTTTCATTACCCTGAACCTTGTGTCTCAGTGTGAATTTACTTCTGCGTGCACGCAACTTTATCATCTTTAATTTGGACAGGAACAGATAGTCATTCAAACTAATTGGTTTGCAGTAAATTATCTACTACAGTGGTACAGGAAGAAGTCTGCATGCTTCAAGAAAAACATGATTTTCATGCAGGACAATGCTCCATCACACGCGTCCAAGTACTCCACAGCGTGGCTGGCAAGAAAGGGTATAAAAGAAGAAAATCTAATGACATGGCCTCCTTGTTCACCTGATCTGAACCCCATTGAGAACCTGTGGTCCATCATCAAATGTGAGATTTACAAGGAGGGAAAACAGTACACCTCTCTGAACAGTGTCTGGGAGGCTGTGGTTGCTGCTGCACGCAATGTTGATGGTGAACAGATCAAAACACTGACAGAATCCATGGATGGCAGGCTTTTGAGTGTCCTTGCAAAGAAAGGTGGCTATATTGGTCACTGATTTGTTTTTGTTTTGTTTTTGAATGTCAGAAATGTATATTTGTGAATGTTGAGATGTTATATTGGTTTCACTGGTAATAATAAATAATTGAAATGGGTATATATTTGTTTTTTGTTAAGTTGCCTAATAATTATGCACAGTAATAGTCACCTGCACACACAGATATCCCCCTAACATAGCTATAACTAAAAACAAACTAAAAACTACTTCCAAAAATATTCAGCTTTGATATTAATGAGTTTTTTGGGTTCATTGAGAACATGGTTGTTGTTCAATAATAAAATTAATCCTCAAAAATACAACTTGCCTAATAATTCTGCACTCCCTGTATATATATATAACGTACTATTTCTACACATAAAAATAGATATATAAAGAAAAACATATATCAAGAAAAGAAATATTAATAGATACACATATATAAATAAGACATATGGATAGGACAAGAAAATGCATAGAAATTAAATAAAAAATAAACTAAACTATACATAATTTTATAACCCATTTTTGCTCTATGCATATATATATATATATATATATATATATATATGCATAGAGCAAAAATGGGTAATAAAATCTAAATATATATATATAAAAGAGATAAACTTGGCACTCACCCTTTGATGCAAATATGTAGAAGAAATATTGCCTGGGTGAAAACCTCAGCGTTGTAAATACAAAATATGGAAATAAGGTGCACTCTCAGGTCTTTAAAAAGTGCCTAATTTATTTCAGTTGCAAATTACATGTGCAAAATAAATCCTCCAGTGATCGACGTTTCGACCCCTATAGGGCCTTTTTCAAGATCAATAATAACATATAACAAGTGAATATATATAGATAAATATTGATAAACACTTACCAAAAAAATGTGTGTAGGAAAATCCATGACCGTCCGAACCCGGAAGTGAGACAGTGTAACCACGTGACCAACGTGATGACGCGTGAAATTATGACGTTGCTAAGCAACGAAAATACACAAATCGTGCATAGGTATTACCCGGGTCTGCCAGAGTATAATGAAGTGACTGAAAAGTGAAATGATCACTAAATATAGTGATCAGGATAATATACAATCTATGGAGGACAAAGTGTAGGTCTCCTAATATTGCACACACATATAATAGAGGACCACAATGTATGGAGATGTGAAACAAACAGTGTAAACTACGTGAAACACTTAAAGTGACCACACATACATGCAAATGTGACCAACATATGTGCTCCTCCTAAAAGTGTGGCAAAAAGATATTTGGTGCAATTAAGTATTAATATTCCTGTGTGTACATGACAAGCTTTGTCAGTCACAGAGAAAAAAAACCAAACAAATATATTGATAGATTATGTAACCATCATGTATCCTAATGAAACAATCTGCAGATAATAACATGCAAAAACAACTACTCAAATAAGGTTATAACTATAAAGATAGGATAAACCACTTATCTATAGTGGGTAAGTAGGGGTTATTCAATAACCCAACTTATAACTAATATACAAGGGAGCTAACTAATAATCAAATAATACATTGCTATATTAAGGACAGAATGTCCTATGTGCATATAACTACCCAGGAATAATATTAAATCCTGTTGACCTAAACTAATATACTTAAAGGCATTCTAGATAATATATACCTTGTATATAAACTATAACTGAGTACAATATTTTGCAGGGCCACATTAAATTTACAATGAAATATATGATAGAATATATTCCATATGCCACAAAAACATCGAGTAGGTATTATATTCATTTAAGCCCTTAGACGTGACTGTATCCAGTTTAAAAATCCAGTATGCTTCCCTTTGAAGTAAAAGTCTAGACCTGTCACCCCCACGAGATAAAGGGGGGACATGGTCTATAGCCATAAATTTAAGCATGGGAAGTCTATGTGAGGCTGCTAAAAAATGTTTAGCAACCAGTTTGTCCGTCTTTTGATCTCTGAAAGCTGTCATAATGCCGGACCTGTGTCCGCGAATGCGATCTCGAAGGGTAAGATCCGTCTTCCCTACATAGGATAATCCACATGGACATGTGATAAGATAGATAACATGGTCCGTTGTACATGTAATATAGTGTGAAATAGTCATTCTTTTTCCACTCTGAGGATGAGCAAAAGAGTTGCCGGAAATCATATGGCTGCAGGTCACACAACCGCTACATTTGTAGCATCCATGCATCTGTGTAGTTGCTGCTGCGGACTGTAAAGCCAGGGTATTGGTTACCTCAAATTCCTGGATGGAATGTCTCACCTTGATCAATTCCTTACCAACTTCTTTTACCACAATCACCATTCAGTCTAGAGAACATTTGTTCGCAATATTCATCCACTTTTTACAAAAATCCGGGTTTTGCCTTCCTATAGTTGGTGCATTTCTTACCCTGAAGCCCCTAGGTATCCTTCTAGCACGATAGTAATCTGAAATAAAAATGCTGTGCAAATCCAAATCCACCTCGCATCTTCTGAGTTTCATGAGGTCATTATATAGATCTTTAGCAGTGTTCGTATGGGTTAATTCATTTGCTGTACGTGGCCACAATACTGCTTGTGCTTGTACATCAGTTATAGTTAATGTTTCTGCAATATCTGCCAGAGCACCTGCTCTGGAAAAAAAGTCCTCCATGGAAAAAGTCTTGAAATTTACTCACTAAACACACCGTTTAGTAGATGTTCCAAAAATAATTATTATTAACAGCAGGGGGTGCTCAAGATGGTATAACGCAATACCATATTTTAATAAAAGAGATAAACTTGGCACTCACCCTTTGATGCAAATATGTAGAAGAAATATTGCCTGGTTGCAAACCTCAGCGTTGTAAATACAAAATATGGAAATAAGGTGCACTCTCAGGTCTTAAAAAAGTGCTTAATTTATTTCAGTTGCAAATTACATTTGCAACTGTGTATTTACAACGCTGAGGTTTGCACCCAGGAAATATTTCTTCTACATATTTGCACAGGAGATGAATGGTACACCAGCAGAACCAAAAGTGGACACCCCGAAGATATACTTACCACTCACATTCCATACAGGCTCCACACAAATTCGTAAATTCATTGATAGACACTGGGACATGCTGGGCGCTGACAAACAGTTATCTTCTTTATTTTGTGGGAAACCAATCATCAGTTACAAAAGAAATAGAAATTTAAGGGATATTCTAATTCGGAGTGACCCTATACAGAATTCTAAGAAAAATACAATACAGAAGAAACATGGATGCTACAAATGTAGCGGTTGTGTTACCTGCAGCCATATGATTTCCGGCAACTCTTTTGCTCATCCTCAGAGTGGAAAAAGAATGACTATTTCACACTATATTACATGTACAACGGACCATGTTATCTATCTTATCACATGTCCATGTGGATTATCCTATGTAGGGAAGACGGATCTTACCCTTCGAGATCGCATTCGCGGACACAGGTCCGGCATTATGACAGCTTTCAGGGATCAAAAGACGGACAAACCGGTTGCTAAACATTTTTTAGCAGCCTCACATAGACTTCCCACGCTTAAATTTATGGCTATAGACCATGTCCCCCCTTTATCTCGTGGGGGTGACAGGTCTAGACTTTTACTTCAAAGGGAAGCATACTTGATTTTTAAACTGTATACAGTCACGTCTAAGGGCTTAAATGAATATAATACCTACTCGATGTTTTTGTGGCATATGGAATATATTCTATCATATATTTCATTGTAAATTTAATGTGGCCCTGCAAAATATTGTGCTCAGTTATAGTTTATATACAAGGTATATATTATCTAGAATGCCTTTAAGTATATTAGTTTAGGTCAACAGGATTTAATATTATTCCTGGGTAGTTATATGCACATAGGACATTCTGTCCTTAATATAGCAATGTATTATTTGATTATTAGTTAGCTCCCTTGTATATTAGTTATAAGTTGGGTTATTGAATAACCCCTACTTACCCACTATAGATAAGTGGTTTATCCTATCTTTATAGTTATAACCTTATTTGAGTAGTTGTTTTTGCATGTTATTATCTGCAGATTGTTTCATTAGGATACATGATGGTTACATAATCTATCAATATATTTGTTTTTTTTTTTTTCTCTGTGACTGACAAAGCTTGTCATGTACACACAGGAATATTAATACTTAATTGCACCAAATATCTTTTTGCCACACTTTTAGGAGGAGCACATATGTTGGTCACATTTGCATGTATGTGTGGTCACTTTAAGTGTTTCACGTAGTTTACACTGTTTGTTTCACATCTCCATACATTGTGGTCCTCTATTATATGTGTGTGCAATATTAGGAGACCTACACTTTGTCCTCCATAGATTGTATATTATCCTGATCACTATATTTAGTGATCATTTCACTTTTCAGTCACTTCATTATCCTCTGGCAGACCCTGGTAATACCTATGCACGATTTGTGTATTTTCGTTGCTTAGCAAGTCGTAATTTCACGCATCATCACGTTGGTTACGTGGTTACACTGTCTCACTTTCAGGTTCGGACGGTCATGGATTTTCCTACACACATTTTTTTGGTAAGTGTTTATCAATATTTATCTATATATATATTCACTTGTTATATGTTATTATTGATCTTGAAAAAGGCCCTATAGGGGTCGAAACGTCGATCACTGGAGGATTTATTTTGCACATGTAATTTGCAACTGAAATAAATTAAGCACTTTTTTAAGACCTGAGAGTGCCCCTTATTTCCATATTTTATATATATATATATATATATATATATATATATATATATATATATATATATATATATACACAATTTATAGATACCAAACTAGAGAAAAGTGTGAAATGCGTTTGGTTCAAAAGCTCATAACATGCTTTAGTGTACAAAAAGAGGTATTGATACACATGATCAAAATAAAAATTTTCCTCTTTAAAAATCAATAGTAAGACCCCCACCTTGAATATGTGGTGCAATTTTGGACAACACTTTTGAAGAAACATATTGCAGAACTAGAAAAAGTGCAGAAGCAAGCAACAAAATCAATAAGGGAAATGGTAAACATTAATTTTGATGAAAGGCTTGAAATATTTTTTTTCCCTATAAAAAAGGTGCCTCAGGATATATGATAGGTCTACACAAATATATAGAGGGTCAGTATTGCTATGTGCTAACTTTATCATTTGTAGGAATATACAACAGACAAGAGGTCACCCATTGAGCCTGTTAGAAAGATGTTTTCGCAATAAGAACATTAAAGGCATTTTATGGAATTTGTATTTGCATTCTTTAATATCAACAGCAGGATGTGTTTTAAGGTTGAACCGGTGGTCTTTTTCAATCTAGATTACTAAGTAACTATGTTTTTAACTATTAAAACATATTTGACCGCATAGCTATTCTATATCTATGATTATGATATTAGAAGTTAGGGCTGGTTCAACCATAAGGTGGCACAGCTGGCTGCATTAGGGTGCACTAGCCTGTGGAGCACAATGTCTGGGTGACCTGCAGGAGGAAAACACAGAGCACAGCGCTCCCTCTCCTGACAGTCACAATATGTAGAGTGTCTGCACAGACTGTTGTAAAGTATCTTCTGTAT